CTCAAAACTCAAATCCCTTGTGAATTTTTACTGCATGTTTAATTCTGGGCCCTGTGACCATGTTCACAGGGCTTTGAGGATGAGGGAAGAGACAAGGATCTGACTCCATGTTTCAGAAGACTGATTTATTATTTTATTATATATATTATATTAAAACTCTACTAAAAGAATAGAAGAAAGGATTTCATCAGAAGGCAGCTAAGAATAGAAAAGGAATGATAACAAAGGTTTGTGACTGACTGAGACAGTCCAGACAGCTGACTGTGATTGGCCATTAATTAGAAGCAACCACATGAGACCAATCCCAGATGCACCTGTTGCATTCCACAGCAGCAGATAACCATTGTTTACATTTTGTTCCTGGGGCCTCCCAGCTTCTCAGGAGGAAAAATCCTAAGGAAAGGATTTTTTAGAAAATATCATGGCTACAGGGCCCTTCTGTTTGAATGGATGCTTCTGAGAAATTCTGGCTCAAGTGATTTACCCCTGGTAAGTACTAGTGGTCACTAGTGTGGCTAAAGGGAAAAGTGCCCTGTTCTTGACACTGGTGCATTTTTACAGCAGGATCATGCTGGCAGACATTAGATATGCTTGTTTACAGACTTGCCTGTGAGGTTCCAGAGAGAGGAGCTGAGAAAATCGCTGGCCCTTCTCAAGTAGCTGTTGTCTTTGGACAAAGATTACATGCATGCTGCCATGTGAAGCTTGGGACACTTCCCAAGTCGTTATTCAGGAGCGTGCAGGTGCATGCTGAGGCTCTGAAACCCCCACATAACAATGCCAAGCTGACAATCATCCCTTGAAGCAGTATCAGCTCAAACAGGCTGTGCTCAGCCTTGCCTCTCGTGCTGTGCTCTGAAAACAAGCTGGTGCTGCATGCAGATGTGCTCCAGAGCCAGTGAAATGGAAATGGAGAGGCTGGGATTCATCCAGTGTGTTCCAAATATGCCCAGCCACCTCTGTGATTGCTTGTTGGGGGTAGGAAAAGAACATCCTTCATCTCAATGTCAGTAACTTGTATCAAGAATGCAGCCATGGTTGAGAGAAACAACACCAGAAAAGAATGTTCATATTTTATCTGTTCATTCCTGGTGATGTGGTACCAGTTGAGCTGGCCTGACAAATTAATCGGTGCTGTTGTACAAAGACACTAAGAAAACTATGTAAAAACTAATGCAGATATTATACATTGAACTCATTTTCTAATTGATTTTTTTGGACATTATATATCTCTCCATGTATTTGCAAGTTTGTAGGTGCCTTAGTATGTATAATGCTATTTACACAGGGTTTTCTCCTAGGTACTTTATCTGGGTGTATATAAGCAGATAATTGTACATGGATTTGTCAAAGTTGTGCTCTTGCTGTCAGTGACTGCCCAAACAGGAAAAACAGTGCAAAGCAATGGGATTGAGTTCATGCAGAGTGCAGGGCATGCAGTCCATGTGTGCACCTCTCCCTCACTCTGTGTGTCTTTAAAAGATCTCTTGGATCATCCAAGGATTGGATTTTCTCAGTAAGTTGCTCAAATGAGGCAGGGGAGGAAGGGAATCACCAGAATTCAGTACCTACAATTTAAAAACTTCAAAACCTCTTTCCTTCAATCATTATATAAGATGAGCTATAAACCAGCAAACCGAATTGCAGAATCAATTAAGTTGGAAAAGATCTCTGAGATCATTGAGTCCAAATTAGGGCAGAAATAAAAAAAAGGGAACTCCTGTTCTCAATTCATATTCTCTCTTGACATTGTGCAGTCTGGTGTGCTCAAACATCAGTGATTTTTATGGAAGAAAGCACTGGAACCCCATCACGGAAATTCTGAAAGGTTATGGACATAAGGAGTTAAGAAAACTCATTTTAATATCTTGATTCCTTTATTTTTGGAGGCATAAGCCCCCATAAACTGACACTTCTGGTATGAGGCATGGTAGATGCATATGGCAGTGGGGGGATTTAAAGGAAAAAAATCCCAGGAAATCACCATCACTCAGTTTGTGCACATGGCAAAGTGACTTTTTGGGTACACAAAGGTCTCAAGAACATGACTCTGCTTAGATCTCAATGAATTTCACTTACAGAGCACCCCAATATAAAATTCTTAAATTATCCCCTAATTAAAATATTATTGCTGTCTTCAGTTTCAGACTCTGCAAAAGCAGATAATAAAATGCACACTTAGTTTACACAATTTTTTTTTGTGTCTGTGTTAATCTCTTTTGCTGCTATAGGCTTTAGACCACTTTGAGGAGTATGGGGGAGATGCTGTTCTGGTTTTTAGTGTGCCCTCACCTCACCTTCTGTGACTGCTGTAGCTGGGTCCTTACCTCTGAAGTTAAAAACCAATTGGATTGACAAAATTATTTTGTCTAATATTTACCTCTGAGCTAGACTGTGTGTTTGAAAGCAGGATTTTTTTTTTGTACAGTCTTTGATTTCCACTTTCCATAAGAAATGAAATATTTCCCTATGAGGAGAAGGATAAAATATGAGAATGAATTTAGAATGAACACCTCTGAAAAAATTAAATTGCGTTGAAATGAAAATGCTAAGATTTTATATGTGGGGGAAGAAAAGACAAGATGATCCAAAGGGAAATAAGCAACCTGAAACTTTACTACTATCTAGTCAAAATTATTGCTTTTTACTTAAAAATTTTGCTTGACATGAAAATATTAGTTTACTTGTCTGCTGCCTTGGATTTTTTTTTTGTTCAAGATATTGCTTTTCTTCTGGCTTTAAAAGGCATCTTTACAAACAGTCCTTTAAAACCACTTGTTACCTTGTTTACACTACTCAGCAGGGAATAGGAGCTGAAGTAACAGAGCCAAATAAATGCAACTGGCCAGTACTAATTACCTGTATTAGAAGGGTGCTTCTGTCTTCCCTGAGAAACTGTAAACCAGACACTGCTGTGCCATATGCAGCTTGTTATAAACATGCAAATCATTGATCAGGTTTTATTTAAAGAGAAAATAAAACCTGTCAAAGTCTTCACCTTCATTTGTCATTAAAAATTTAACTTTGCTGTTATCTTTTACTATGATTTAATTAAAATAGGACGGAGTAGTGGTAGGTAAAGCACAGGTCTGATCCAATCAGAAGTGCAATTTTGCACTGGTATTGCTGGGGTTTTTCACTCATACAACGAGCACTTGCTGATGTGGGAACGTACCAAGCCCTTCAGATGTAAATGTGAGTGTATCAATTTATGTGGAGGTGTAGATTAAACTGGAAAGGAACTGGGAGGAGGCAGGAGGAAGAAGGAGAGTCAGGTTTTTGTTGTGAATCCAGCTGAAGGGTTAAGTCCCTCAATTTTACCTTAAAGCACTCTGAACTAGCAGAGGAGTGGATCCAAATGCTGCCCAGCTTTGTTCTGGTTCTCACAGAGCTGAGCCTGCTGCAAGATGAGCTGAGATTCCTCTCCCAGTGGAAGCTCAGACACCAAGCTCTGGTTCCCTGACCTGCTGGAAGTGTCAGAGCCTGAAAAAGCCCAGGGGGGCTGAAATATCCAGCACTCCTCTCCTGGTGTTGGTGACTGCAGTACAGACCCTCAGGTGCATCAATCAGAGCACCAGCACCTCTCAGAGCACTAAATACCATTAAATTCTAAGGGTGGTGTAGCCATGATATTTTCTAAAAAATCCTTCCCTTAGGATTTTTCCTCCTGAGAAGCTGAGAGGCTTCAGGAAAAAAATGTAAACAATGATTATCTGCTGCTGTGAAATGCAACAGGTGCATCTGTGATTGATCCATGTGGTTGTTTCTAATTAATGGCCAATCACACCCAGCTGGCTTGGACTCTGTCTGAGCCACAAGCCTTTGTTATCATTCCTTCTTTTTCTATTCTCAGCTAGCCTTCTGATGAAATCCTTTCTTCTATTCTTTTAGTATAGTTTTAATATAATATATATCATAAAATAATAAATCAAGCCTTCTGAAACATGGAGTCAGATCCTCGTCTCTTCCCTCATCCTCAGACCCCTGTGAGCACCACCACAGGGTGGCTTCACTTAATTTCCTAGTGGTGATCTTGGCTGTGACTCCTCACAGCCCAATGCACGCTCCAAGCATTCCCAGCACTGTCAGGACCTGCTCCAGCTGCCCTGGGGATGGTTCCTGTGCCCTGTTGTCCCCTGGCTGTGCCTGCCTGGGCTGGCACTCTGAGCTCAGACCCAGCCTGGTCCCAGCTGGACTGGCACAACACTGCTCTGAATGCAAAGGCTGCTCTGCAGCCTCGTGGGCAGACCAACAAGCCTTTGAGAGGGTGGAAAAGTGAAATGGGTGAGGGGCTGCTGCAGCAGGAAGGCAGTGACTGAAAGGCAGGAGCATGGGCAGGCACGGAAGGGTAACTGGTTCCATGGAACACTCTAAGTTCCACATTACTACTCCAATGCAACCAGTTTTTCTCTGAGCAAAAATGGAAAATGTGATGTCAGCCTTGATATGTAAAGTATTTGTAAGTGAAGCTTTTACTACAAGGTCTTTTGAAACAATTTTTTTCCTATTAAAATTTTTAAAGCCCAAAAAATATACTGGGTGTTTCTGGGGAAACTCTAATGCCAGTTCTGGTGATGCATGAAACCATCCATGCATATGAGGATGTGAACCTGGGAACAGATCAGAACAAGCATTGTTCCTTAGGTGTTCACATTTGTACAGTGCCAGCTGGGGTGGAATGTGGCTGCGGAATACAAACTCCAGAAGTTACTGGGGAGTGCAGATTTGCCATTGTGATGGAGTTTGATCCTTGCTCCAGTATGGCCAGTTTAAATATCATGTCAAGTGGATAAATGACATGCAAACAAGGGTTCTGTATACAGAATTTGAGTGAAAATGTGCAGAGCTGAGACTGGCTCAGCTGGTCAGAGCATGGTGCTGACAATGCCAGGGTTGGGGTTTGATTCCTGTATGAGCCATTCACTTGAGAGTTTGGCTTAAGAACTCTGGTGGGTGACTTCCAAACCAGAATATTCTGCAATTAGAGACAATAACTAGTGGAAAGCCAAGTATTTTATTCTCACAAGACACTCTGGTAGAGATGAGAAAGTCCTTTCAAACACAGAAATTGAACTAAAACACCTGGAATATTTTTTGCATGTTAAGTCAGATATAATTGTTACTAAAATAAGCAAGTGAAAATTGTTTGCAGCAATGAAAAGAACTACCCTGTTGGGCAGGAAGTGGCATTTATTCTTGCTTGTTATTATGATGGAAAGATTTGATATTCCTGGTGACTATGAAGATTAAACCAGAGATTTATGTTAATGCAAAGGATTAAAAGAATTTTAATAACACTTATAAAGATGCAAATGTTCTCCTGCATTTTATCTTTTTGCAGATGAACGTGCCATAAGGGAAATATTGAAGGGGGAGAACACATCCTCACTCAGAATTGCAACATCTGGTTTAATACTGCTCTCACATGGTCATTAAGTATCAGTTGTTTTCACCAGTGTGTTTATGAACAGTGTGAGTTTGATTAGACTTTTTCTCCCTGACAAACTTAAGAAAATCAGGAATCAGTGATCAACATCCACCTCCAAACACTGGGGCCCGTGAATGGCTTTGTGCCTTGTGTGTTTCAACAAACTGTAAGTATTTCTCAGTGTATTTCCCTTCTTGCTGCTCCATCACTTAAAGACTGATTTTCTGAACAGCAAAGAGCTTGAAGTACTGGCTGCACTTCAGAATTGCCAGCTGTGCTCCCCTCATTTCAAACACCCCCAAGTGCAAACACAGGCCACACCAGCCTGGAAAATTCTGTGCTTTATTTGGGAACCCTGACATATTATACATATATGTACATACATTTCATGTGGAGAAATTATAGAAAAAAATATGATTTGAAAAAGGAGGCAATTAAGGTGAAGGTGTAAACATCTGTTTATATTCTGGTTTGTGTTTTTCCCTGCTCTTCAACCAATTCTTTGCTAACAGGTAAGTATATATAAACAGATGTCACCTGGATTTGTCACACTATTCAACTGATGTGACTGTGGAAATATCCAGGCCCTCAAATTAATATAAATCTTCAAAAGGTTTGGAGTAGTTGAACATCAAGTAATCCATGTAGTAAAAGTCATAGCTTTGTTGTCGTTGAGAAGGAGAAAGCTGTGCAAAATACTGTTGTGTAATTTTAGTGGTAGTTCTTTCTTCATTGGAGTGACGATCTTTAAACTTGGGGAAAGTTAAATTTTGTGGAGCACCAATTAAGTGCAAGAAAAAGTTTGCATCTTCTTCCATACTTTCAAATTTCCCAACAAAGTCGTAGTCTATTAAACACGGGCTGCACAGCCTATTGACATGATCCCAGTGTATATCCATCCCCACTGGCCTGTGTACATCCAGCAGGTACTGAATGAACTCTTTGAACTTGACTCCAGAGCCTGTCCTTAGAGCTTCTTTGGTGGCATTGACACGGTACCTGGCGATGATGGCTTTCCCAAAGACCGGGTGGTAGTAGTTGTTTGGGTGTTCAAACTTGTCCCGAAACGCAGACACCAGCTTTTCAAAGGGCTCACGAATAAACAGCATTTTTGTGTAGGTGCTGAGCCTGTGGTAGATTCCCTTGTGGTCAAAGCCATCCAGCCTTTTCAGGTAGTTGCCATAGTGCACAGTGTTGTGCTGGATGTCCTTGGTGGAGGAGGCCAGCCCGTTGAGCACCATCAGCACCCGCTTCCAGTTGGAGCAGCCAGCTTTTGGCACCTCACAGTACAGAACCCTGTATTTATCCTCTACAAATATCCTGGACACGTGGTAAGGAGTGATTATTCTTCTGTTGTTACTCTTGTATTTGGAACAAGTTTCCCTCATAATCCGCTTCCTTTCTCCTTGGATCTCATAGAGACTTTTCCACTTGCTGTTGTTTCTATCCTCATATTTGAGTGTGGGCAGGTTGAGAATGGAGCTGTTCATGGAAATCAGAATTGGACTCTTTTTAATTATAAATCTCCTCCTGCGTTTATGGAGCTTGATGGAATTAATTTCTTCACCTTTCTGTTGATCTTTCATAGCAAACATGATGCTGCTTTGCCTTCTGTCGGTGCTTTGAAGCTTGGTGGGCACACTTTCAGATGGCTCTAATGAATCGCTCTGCTTAACTGTTGCTGCTCTGTCTGCAGTATTTTTTCTTAATCTTCTATCCTGGTTATTGCTGGAAACACAGTCCTGCTGAGGAAAAACAGATTAAAGATATTAGTAAATGAGAGATTGTCACTACTTACAGCTTGCACCACTTCACGTGGATCTTTGGTAACTTTTATAACTGTACAAAACTCATTGTCATGAGGCCTCAGCACTGCACTGTGGCTCTTCTCTTGTCCCCTTGTTCGGTGCTTACATGAAACTTAAAGGCATAGATGAACCTGATCTAAATTTCCAGTAAATTTTAGTTCCTGTTTGGATTTACCTGTATTACTGTATTTTAGGTGGTGGACCCAGACCTTCACCCATACTTTTGTCTTAGATATTGTTGAAATTTCTACAAAATGTATCTGAGTATTTTGAGAACTTGCTTAATTATTGCAGACTGCCCCTGTTGTCACCCAAATGGAAGGGCTTGTTTGTTTGGGCTGTGTGTTTCTCACCCTCACGTCAATAATTTATCTTTGCATGAGGGCAGATTGGCACAGAGGGGAAGGGAGGGGGTTTGTAGGGTTTGCAAGGTGGAGTGAGATGTAAATGGGGGCAGAGGGAAACAGGAAGGTGTCAGTGAAAATGCAGAGGTTTGGCACACAAGAAGTGGGTTTGGAGAGGGCAGCATGAAGGGAACCCCAAAGGGAGGCTGGATGAGCTGAGCCTGGGGCAGAGCAGTGGAAACAATGAGCAGTGAGAGGTGGGAATGGAGCTGGGGCTGGGATTAGGGCAGCAAAAACTGAGTAACTACAGCAGGTCTGTGGGTGAGGCTTGTGGGAATTTTTTCATTGGGGAATCTCTGTTAATACTCCCTGCATACAGCCCAGGTGTGCTCCATCACTTCCTGCTTTTCCAAGCAGCTGAATTAAATCCTGTCTATGCCTCTAAGATTAAGATTAAAATTATGTTCTGGTCACTGTTTAGCTGTGTGTCATCCCCATTTTGAGGTCACCCGGATCAGAGTAGCATATAAACTACCATGGAGTGTTTCAACAGAGGACCATATGTAGTTGCAGAATGTTTATTGCTGACCCAAAATACTTAGTTAGAGGGCTTACAATTTTAAATTTAAATGCTTACAATTTTAAATTTAAATTTTTGATTTTCAGTGTTTCCCCAATAGTATTTAAAACTGGCTTAAGAATAAGATACTGTGTGAATTTTAAGGTGTACAATTGGGGATTAGAAGGGTCGTGCTCTTTCAGGGTGCTCTTTAAGATTAAATCTTAATCAATTTTACAAGTCTTTGTTGTCTGAAAAAAAGCAATGCAATAGGTGACATAGTTGTTCTGTCAGGGAGGTTTTATCTTGTCACATTCTTGTTAAAGGTCAGAGAATAAAAAAGTCTCAGAAAAGAGATTCAGGATTCATTACAAAAAACATTGGTGACAAGACCCAAAATAATAAAATTGTATTTTGCTTGGTGAATTGCTTATATTGATAATTACCATACAAAACTTGAACACAACAGATCAGTATTAAACACAAATTTTAGGACACTTGCAGAATTCAGGTTGCATGCTCTGGTAGTGGAGGTGATGTGCAGCCTGGGAAAACAACTGATAATTTGTTATGCAAAACACTATTCAGTGTTGGGAGTGATTGTTCCTCACCTTCAGAGGTTGTTTCTGTTGTCAGAAATGTGTTTGTCTTTGTAAATACCAGCTGTATTTCTAAACATTACCCTTTACAAGACTGGCTGTAATTCAATCCCATTTACTCATGACATGGCTGATATTTAAAGGTTATCAAATTCAGGCTTCCTGGAATTCTGCACCTTTAATGATGCTGATGATGACCCTGGAGCTTTTGGGCAGCCTGAATGCCTTCTGTCAGTGCAAGCTGGCTGCAGGAGGTTGGGCTGGAGCTGCAGGGGAGCTGAGGGATGTGGGACTCCAGGGGCTCTCCAAAATGCAGTTTATTGTATCCAAGGTGTTACAGCAGTGCAGGGCCGTGGGTGACAGAGCTGTGCCCACAGCTGTCAGCTCCAGCTGCAGGCAGGCCTGGAGACCCTTTGGTTTTGGTTCCGTTGCATTATATACTTTTCTTTTGGTCACAATGAATTATATACTTTTCTTCTGGTTACAATGCATTATATACTTTACTTTTGGTTACATTGCATTTTATACTTTTCTTTCCTGAGCATCTTCATACAGCAGAACCAATCTATACCTTAACTATTATCTCTAGCCTATCATAACTACTGTAATTACCATATTCATGTTACTGTTCTCCAATCACTAAAAGTCAGTACATTACAGTTTAAGCTAGAAGTTTTTCTTCAGTTTTCTTGCAGTGGAAAATTCTGAGACCTTTTTTCTACTTGCCACATTTGCTGACTTGTTTGCCTGTGCTCTCTTTCTGCTTGGTAAAAACATCTTCTTGTTTGGGGTGGGTTTATCCTTTGCTCTAAGCCATAAAACCCCCTTCTAACTAACACACCCTTTGCCTCCTTGGTTATCCAGTGAGACTGGCTCAGCAATTCTTTTCTTCTATATCAAAACTTGCTTTCATTTCTATTCTTTCTTCAGATTCTACATTCAAAAATCTTTCTGCTGAGCATCCATATCTGTGAGACTTTCTTGTCAAACTTTCATCCTTCCCAACAGCTCTCAATCCCTGTCACCTGTCCGAGCAGGCGATGGCATATCGGGGCACACCTGGGCACACCTGGGCAGGGCTGGGCACACCTGGGCACATCTGGGCAGGGCTGGGCACGGCTGCTCCTTTGCAGAATTTGCTCTCGTCCTTGCTGGAGGCAGCCCCGCGCAGCCTGACTGCCACTAGATGGGGGAATTTCACCAGAATTTTTCTTGAGCCTGTTTTTAAGCACCTCTCAAGGCATTCATTTGATCAGTGTGATTTCATACAGAATATTAATATATGCAAAGTTTACAGTATCTTTTAGCAATATCCAGTCTAGGAAAAAAACCTCATAAAAATGAAGTTGCATAGCTTATCAAATTCCTATTTTAAGAGGGAAATTTGCATTTTCATGGCTAAGTTTTTGATGCATCTTTCCTTTTCAGTGCTTCATCTCCATGTAGTGGCCTTATCTGAGCCATCTTTATCTGTACTCCATACTCAGAATATGGGTACAATATTATGTACTTCTGAAAACTTACTTTTTTTGGTTGCTGGAATCCCACGTTAGATTTTATTCCTAAACAAAGAAAGAAAATAAAGTAATTATTTAGAAATAAAAAACATTAGTTTCTTCTCTTCTAGACTGATACAGCCAGTGTTGTTAAAGCAATGACAAATAAATCAATGGTGAGCCATAATTAATGTATATTTCTAGCAACAATAATCCTTGAAAGGCATCTTTATGTATAGATGTCATAGAATTGTGAAATGGAGTGAAAGACTCTATGACTTTCACTGTTTTACAGATGGGGAAACTGAGATGAACGAAAGTGGAACAGAAGTGATTGCTTAACCTCAGTTAAAAAGCAGAACAATAATCAGCTGAAGGTTGTGATTCCAGGTTAGAGATCTACAACAAAAACAAAAAAAGCTCTCCTTTGTGTATTTACCCAAACCTGTATGGCTTGGACCCTGGAACCTTTGATAGGGCAGAATTAATCCTAATCACAGCTTGCATGAGTACTCTGCTGTAAAGGCAACACACTGTGGAGTCATATGTGAGGTAATATTTGCACACTTTGGGAAAGGCAAACAACACAGAATCATATTTTCTCTAATCTTCTGATTTCTACAGTGATATTTACCTGAAAATAGAAAAATAAAGATGTGAAAATCCAAGTTGGCAGCTTTAGCTGATGCGTAGGGTTTCTCTCATGACCATAACCTTTGTTAGGTATAACTTAATAATGCAGAAATGGATAATGGAAACACTACTGAATTATGACATTTGTTTGGGGCTTTTCAACTGCTAGAGCTGTTGTCATCACTGTCAATGCTGCTTGAAGACTTCAGTTCAATAAGTCTGCATGATGAATCCACAGCTTTTTGGACAAGGACAATTACAGCTAAAGGTCTTGCACAGCATTAAGTGAAAGCTCTGTCAGCCCCATCAGGTTGATTTTCATAGTGCCAGGAAAGCTGTCAGGAACTCCTTGCATGATAATTCACATTGTGACCTGCTGCAGCGAAAGAAACAAGCCCAGCCTAGATGATCAGCCGTGCTTTATATTTGAAATCAGATCTACAAATTCATAGATATTTGTAGTAGACTCTAAATAAAATTGCTCTGATTGTTCTGTGCTCCAAGAGCTTCTCTAAGATGATGCTTTTGGCTTTTGTTTGAGCTTTAACTCACTTCTGCAATTTGTCAGCAATGAACTCGAGGTTGTGTGGGACATTGTGATTCTGTGCCTATTACAAGTAAATTGTTTTAATGCATCAGAAATAAGTTTCAGACACCTTACAGAAGGAACCTTCAGGCTTCTCCTAGCTGTTTCTCAAAAATGTTTAGCTGCAAATCAAAGTCAGAAAGTGTCTATTAAAGAGAAAGAGAGCTTGGCTGCAGCATTCCTGTGTGGGTTCTGGAGACCTGAGGCTGATTCTGCTGTACCAGGCTTTAGGAGAATCTCCTGAGCTCTTCTCCAGTTCCTGGTGTGATCAGTACAAAACCACATTTATTCTACTGCTGTGTAATGTGCTTCAGAGAAAGGCAGGGCAGGAACCTGCTGTCCAAAAACCCAGCAAAATCTGAACAGCAGCACTTTGAAACAACTGATACTAAAGCATGGTGATTGTTTATACCACGGAAATGTTGTATTTGTCAGTAACTGCTGCTTTTTTGCTAACCCTAAGGGTCTAATTTGAAGTTGTTTGAGCTTCTTGGCCTTTGCTCTAAGGCATCATGAATACAGCTACTTGGAGTAGGTACCTATAAGATGAGGAAGATGTGTTCCCTTTCCAAAAGTATTTTGAGCTTTTTACAGTTGAAAACTTAAATAGGTGAGGAAAGTCTTTTGGTCACTTATCAAAAAATTGGGGAAGTGCTTCAGATGGAATCAGTTACAAATACTGAGCATTTGTTGGGTCCAAATTGTAATGTAACTTAGGGTTAGTTTCTCTCAGTTGTGATTGTTTGTTCTGACTTAAAGCAAGCTCTGGTACCTTACACAAACGCACTCACTTTGTGTAATTGCCTCTTAAATTTGGTGCCATGACTGATAATTATTAATAAAACCCCACAAAGTGCAAAGAGAAGGTATGAGAACTAACTATTTTGCGGTTAATTATGATTTTTTCATAGTGGTGTTTAATAAAGATAACTTATTTGAGAGAGTAATAATTTGTACTGACATGCTTTGCTTTGAAAAATGAAAAATAAATGCTAGGAGGAGGTGAGTAACCATTTAAAAATGGTTATTCATTTACTGGCTTTAAGATGTAATCAGAACAATAATTCCTGCTTAATATAAATGTTTGGTGAAGCACTTGCCAATCTCTTTGATGTTTTCTGAATTTGTGACATCTAAATTTGGCTTCTTTTAGTTGTCTTTCTCATGATACAGTCTTGTCACTTCAGATTTAAATCTACATGATCAAAACCTCTTGAGCGCAGTGAAGTCAGGGAAGTTATATTGCACATATCTATCACACTAATCAAAATCTAAATTTATTGTTATGCTACACCTTTACAATCCATATTTTTACCAGGTCTTTGACATTATTACCCCTGCCAAAAGGGTAATATTTTTGGCCATAAATAAAGCCCTGGTGCCTGGTGCAGGCAGCTGAAGGCAGTGATCAATAACTCTTAGATGTGATGAGGTGAACACCTCACAGTGCCCAAACTCAGAGGGAAAGCAGGGACAGACTCATTCTCTAATTGCAGATTGTTTGTGTTGGTTTTCATGGTGTTCCTTTCTCTTCCACTTGTGGGACCATGATTTTCCAGGCTTGAGCCTGGCCTGTGCTTTATCCACACAGTGAAATCCACTGTGAGCTATTCTTTATTTTCTTTTCCAAAGGCTACTAGCAACACAATAAAATGGCTTTCATCTTCCTTGTGTAATACTGTATACTTTTACCATTCTGCCTTCTCCTCTGTCTCTGCTTCAAGAACTAATTTTGGTTTGCCTCTGGTGTTCTGCTCTGGTTTGAGACTCAACTACAGCTGAAGTATTTTTTAATAAAAATGATAACTTCAAGTCTGCGTCTGCAACTCATCCTTTACAGGGCTTCTGTGCACAGAGTGCTCTTGTTTGCTTCACCCAAACAGATTTGTGACATTTACTCTGGATGGATGTTATGGCATTTCAAGAACATCTGTGTCAAGTGTCCTATCCACATATGCCCCAGTCTTAGGTCTTTTCTCAGACAGCAATGTGTGCTTAATTGCAGAATGACTAATAGAGTAGTACTTAGAATTCTGATAAACATGAAAACAATTTAGCTGGAAGAAGATTTTCCCAAAAATGCTGGTCAGAAAATCAAGACAGTTTTTTTCCTTTTTTTGTTCTTTTTAAAAAATTTAAACTTAACTCACCTTCTATAGTATAAAAGACCTGCCCATATATGATTCTAACTTATTCTGGTGTCCAGTTATTTGCCTCTTTGAATTAAATTACTCAGTAAAGAAATGTAGTTAAAGATTGCTACCATAATAAATTATTTGGTTTTACATCTATATAAAATATAGATGTACTATACACATCTGCAATACTGTTGAAATATATAAAACTCTAAAATAAAAGCACGTTCTGCAAAAATTAAGGCCTAATTAGAACAGACTTTATATGTGTGCCTGTTTTAACTATGTGCTATAAATCCTTTTCCTAACATAAACTTACAATTTCATTTGGAAAAATGCCTTCAAAAGTTCCATCTAAGCTACACACAACATCTCATTTTAATACAGATGGAATTAATGAGGCCAAGTAAAGAAGGCTTAGCAAAGCAGCAGCACATCTTGAATTGTACACCAGGAAAGAAGCCAACCTGTGCAGAGAATAGAATCTAAATAATCTGATATCTAAATATAAATATAAATAATAGAAATATCTAAATAATCTGATCCCATGGGTGTCACAGCCCACACATGGCAAACTCTGCCGGTGAGTGTGGGGGTGAATGATGATGTCCAGCCCTTGGCAGACAGGTTTGGTGCTGATTTCCTCTGCACTGGTGGAAATAATGGAATATTTCTGGGAGAGTCTCCAAACCAGGCCTTTGCAGCTATAAGTAGTTAACATTGGCTTTTTGAGTAAAGAGCTTCTTTTTTTCCCCCCTATTTTTGGAAGATATCAGAAGTTTTCCAAGCTGCTGAGGTTTGGGGTTTTTTAGTCTCTTTGAGCTTTCTTTCATGTGTGAGCTCCTTTGTAACTCAGGTAACACATTTGTCCTGAATTCTGAGCTCTTTGTTTAAATCCTACCATTGTCAAGCATACAAGTTCTAATAGTTCAAATATTGTTTGAGGAATTTTGAACTCTGACTGATGGCTTATTCTTAAGGAGTTGTTGTGGTGAAGTAGAACACTTCCCAAAAAGAGAGCCTCATTTTCCCCTCTCCTGTGCTGGTGTTGTGCTAACACACCATTACTTCCCATTGTTCTTTTGCTTTTCTGTCCAAGCCAGCTTCAGAGGTGGAGGCATTGGATCTAGGTGAAAATGTGGCTTTTCTAGGTGAAAATATGGTATTTCTTGGTGAAAATGTGGTGGTATTTCTAGGTGAAACTGTGGTGGCATTTCTAGGTGAAAATGTGGTGGCATTTCTTGGTGAAACTGTGGCATTTCTAGGTGAAAATGTGGCGGTATTTCTAGGTGAAACTGGCATTTCTTGGTGAAACTGGTGGCATTTCTAGGTGAAAATGTGGTGGTATTTTAGTGAAAATGTGGCATTTCTAGGCGAAAATGTGGTGGTATTTCTAGGTGAAAATATGGCATTTCTAGGTGAAAATGTGGTGGCATTTCTAGGTGAAAATGTGGCATTTCTAGGTGAAACTGTGATGGCATTTCTGGGCGAAACTGTGGCATTTCTAGGTGAAAATGTGGTGGTATTTTTAGGTGAAACTGTGGTGGCATTTCTAGGTGAAACTGTGGTGGCATTTCTAGGTGAAACTGTAGTGGCATTTCTAGGTGAAACTGGCATTTCTAGGTGAAACTGGTGGCATTTCTAGGTGAAACTGTGGTGGCATTTCTACGTGAAAATTAAACATTTCTCGGTGAAAATGTGGGTGTCATTTC